AGAGGTCACTATGATGCGCGTCACCGTGTGCACCTTGTTCGAGCTTCTGCCGATACTTGCGAGCACCATCACGGAGGACCATCCAGAGCGCCTCTTTTGACAAACGTGCCTCGGATTCGACATACTTTCCCACAAAATTCACACGACTCCACAAATTTAGGAGCTTGCCCATGGTAGCTCCTGCCATTGCAGCAGGACCAGAAAAGGGCTCATAATAACCAGCGCCAGCCGTAACCGCCTGCAGGCGTTTTTCAGTGTTTTGGCTTTCTCCGGTTGGGTCGGTGATGCCTCGCACTGACTGGTCTGGCTCGTTGCTACCTTCCCACCAGGTGACGTCCCCGGGCTCGCTTAATGCCTTTACTTGTTCGAAAAGTAGGGGCGTGCTGCGGTGCTTTTCATATATAGCCCCGATCAACGCGCGCTGCTCGGCTGCCGTAATGTCTTTTCCCATTTTGTCTGGGTTGTGTTTGCTCGTCAAACTGATAAGGCGCCGACGGGCCCCCATACTCGGCGGCCGCATCCCACTGCGGTCGGCGTTTTGCATATTGCCGAGTCTGTTCTCGAGCATCTGGAGTCGCTGAAGTAGATCAGAACTTGGACCATTGGAGTCCGATTCAGAGCTAGTTTGGGTAATACGCGGCGCAGCTTCGTCCTCGTTATCAGTAGACTCATGGCCCGCGGGGGCTGGCTCGCTGGGCCTTACCTGATAGACTTCCCCGACACGAGCAACGCCGACACGCGTGGCAATCTTTGTACCACTTTCCGCACTTAATGGCGCATCCGTCTGGGAGCTGGTGCCCCTCATTGTTGGCACTGTTTGCCGACTTGTGTCGCGAGTTAGACGTGGCAGTAGTGTGCTTATGAGTCGGGCCTCGACGGCTTTGCTTACTTCTTCCACCATCTGCGCGCGCAAGATTCCGTCGGACTGCTGGTTAATGAGGTCTGCACTGTGTAGAAGTTTCTCACTTTCCGGGTCGGATTCGGTTGCACTATCGGACTCCGGGGCCAATTCCGATGGACTTGCAAATAGCTGCGGCGAACTATCTTGCCCCAGCATTTTTATGGTTCCAGCGCTTTCACCTTCTTGGACGCGTTGCCGCTTTTGTGTTTTGATTGCGACGTCGTCTACGTGCATTGCATCGCTGGTTTGTCCCAATTTTACCACTGTGGCGGCCTTTTTCTTTTGAACACCTACGAGGCTTTGAAACCGTCGGCGGCCTTGCTCTTCCGCTGCAGCTCGAGCAGTGTGGCGAGCCGTGTGCCAATTCTGATACGGCTGCAATGAAATTTCCGAGATTTTGGAGTAATCTGCAAGCTTTAGACACTCGCCGCGGTTGTCGGGTGGTGCGAGCGCGTAGACCCTGCCCTCGCCATTGCTGAGGTAACTTGGTGGCCAGATAGCAACCATAACTCGCCGCAGCACCTCAATCATGTTGGTACTCATTTTTGGAAATATTTGAAGATACTTCGTCTGGCTGTTGTATTGTGCCAGTAGAGGCGTTTCACCGGTGATGTAGTCTGGCAACTCGAACCCACAAAGAAAGAACTCAGGCTGATGTGCGGGCGACTTTTCAAGTCCGCGACGGGCAAAAACACTGTGGAGAGGTTTCTGACTTTGCACCGAGATTGCATAGTGATGCAAGAACAGCCAGACCCACTCATCTGGAACTACTAGGCCATTGCCTGTAAAGCCCGGGACGAAGTTAGCACGTCGTGGGCGGACTTGATTTTCGCGAAGAGCTCCTTCGCGGGCAAAACGCATTTTGTATTGAAACTCGCGGCGTGCTTGCTCCAGTTCCGTTTCTTGGCCCCGAATGGGTTGGCCACTAGCTGCGCCTTTTTCTGGACTAACTGACATGACCGCAATCGGGTAGGACATCTGCTGCGCAAAGGCTGGAACTGTCGCCACAGTTGGAAACCGCGACCCCTCAGAACTACGAGGGCGCCCGCCTTGACTGCTGACACGTGCGGCGCCTTCTGCAGTTTCTACGAAATTGTCGACACTACTGGCGAAAAGGCTCTCCAGGTCGCTTTCCCCTTCCGAATGAACTCGGGCCGGGATTTGGCTACGGTTCGCCACTGCTGCGCGAATGGCAGACGGAGGCCCCTGTCGTGATTGTGTTGAAGATTCACGGGCCTCGGCGATGAGGCTGGACCCTGTTGTTATTTTTGAAGCTGGAGCACTTTGCTCCGGTTTGCTTTGGCGACTGTTCGGGAATCCGCTACCCCTCTTCGTTTGATTGTTCTTATTTTAATTTGTGGAGACAACAGCCCCACATCGGGCGCCATGTTCGTCCTGGGCGCTGCCCTGCCGTCCCGAAGGAGGACGGGGGGAGGGAGTCGCACCGCAGGGGGTTCCGGGGCCGTCCAGTTGGCCACCCCGGGACGAGGGGAGGGAAGGCGGCAAAGAAGCGGATCGGCCGTCTGGATGGGAACCAGCGGGGTTGGTGCTGTTGTTGTGGACCAGATCGGTCGCGCCACTACTGGGATGCGTCCGGTCCTGATTATTTATCTGCTCGGCATGTCTGCCCTGGTTATGGGTGACCGGTGGCGCCCCTAGGAGTGCCTCAGTTTGGTTGTCAGCAGTTGCAAGCCCTTCGGCTAATTCCCGGCGTGTTTCAGCTTCGTCGAAGTCACCAGCAGGGTCGGCATCGTCTAGCGGCTCACTGTTTGCGTTACTATGCAGATCAAAGCCATCGGCTGCCTCCTCGGCGGTGATCGCGTTTGTGAACAACACACCGGCACCGCCTGAAGGATCACCCAATTCGTACGGATCTTCTTCATTTGTTGCACGTCGACCGCGGTGGGCCATTCTGCGCACACGTGGCGCGGTGGAATATTCTCCGTCGGATGAGGTCATCTTGTTTGTTAGGTATAGTCTTACTTAGTCGCGTACTTAAATAATTCACGGGAAGCGCTACTTTAGCCTATTTATCAAATAGGGGCAGACCCGTCGGACCATTTTTATACTAACGTAGCGAGCTGCAGAGAACAAGGCCGGGCCACTACACGACCGCCATCGCGCTGTAACTGACTTAGTCACGTTTTATCTTTGGCATGATTCAAAAGAGTCACGGAAGATTTCGGAAAATGTTTGCTCAGGTTTGTATAAGAGCAGCCAAACGCATCAGCTTGACGCGGTGCTCGAGCTTAATTAACTAGCCGACACACGATCGACCAAAAGAACAGAGAAACAAGCACCCAAATGGATGGAATCTAATACACTAGAAGGAGACCAGGCAATCCTGGAAAAGGCAGACGGACGACGGACCTGAATAGCTACACGGGCTGAAAGGTCGATAATGTTTCTGAATTTAAAGGAGCAGACCAATCTACTCAAACAAAAACGGACACGAGAAGCATAGTACCAATAAAGGGCTTTACGCTAATCAAGGAACTGCATACGGCTAGTCGGTTAGATGTTTGAAGCATAGTTATTATTAACGTGGTTACTATGAAGTCCACGGCCGTCAGCCTTCCTTCCTTCTCCGAATCAAGTTTCTATAGCCCTAACGATCTTTCGCGAGCGTTCTAAGCGGGTCAAACTAGTCACGGAAAATTTTACTAGAAGGATTTCAACACACTAGCACCAGAAGGATCGAGAGAAAACTTCAAACCTAATAGCTACTATCTATTAAGGTAATACCCACTCACCTGCTTTAGTGAATACAAATTACAGAAGTTACGGAATTTGAGTCGAATGATCCAAAATTGCTACGAAATGTTGAGAATTACTATAAGCAAGACACGAATGCACTAGATAAACAAGCTACACGGCTTCTGATGTTTTCTATGTAAACAAACGCACTAGAGCAAGCTACAAGGCTGCTACGACTTATGAGCAATTTACTTGGTCGCAGGAATCAAAGGGGAAAAACAAGACCAAATCTTGGCCCTTTTAACCTTGAAGCCACGAAACCCTTGAAAGAAATTTTATTAACAAAATGCGCGAGATCATTCTCACACTTGTGGACTCAGTTGAATCAGATGCCTTAGGTTTTGTTTTGTCGATCTTGTTGCTTATCTCGTTTCTATTTACTTGACGAACACCGGCACACCTGCGCGCTTTTGACGTGGTCACTCTTTCGCGAATAGTTCCTGCGGGTCCTCTTTGTTTCTCGTTTTTTTACTTAATTCATTTGCTTTACGGACTTCGCCCAGTGTTTATCATGATGCAGATCAGTTTTATGGTTAAGACCTTACCAGGCACTGCGCCCGTTCTTGATAGTTTTACTCCAAATAAGACAGACAAAAAAAACACAACAGACCAAGGCCAGATATCTTTTGAAGTGTGTCACTTATTTCAGGACTTTTAATCTATTCAGTCAGTTTTGAAGATCTTTTATGCCATTATGCAGTATCTCTCAGAGGACCGCGGGAACCACTCGAGTGACGCTCGTCATATTTTTACACGGTGCGCGAGGTTGCTGGTGTTTTTGTTCTTTCTTTGTTTCATCGTTAGGTATATCGTTTAGTCAGTTTATTGCTAGTTATATCGCTTAGTTAGTTTATCGCTAGTTATGTTCTTTATAAGTAGTTGCCGCCAGTTGTTTTCTTTATTTGCTAAGGCTGTCAGTTGTCAAATACATACCCGAACCGCTATCCTTCTTATATATAATAAACCAAAGGCCCCCACCTCCTTCATTTTTAATACAGGCGCCCTCTTTTAGGTGGGTGCAGGTCGTCTTCGTCACTGTTCTCGAGGTCCTTGCTGTTGGCATCGCTGAAATATATCTTGGGGGGCTTGTCCTCCTTTTCGCAACCCAGAGAGGCAAGCTTCTCTTTGAAATCATGCGCCATCTTGTCCAAAAACGGGTCCTCGTCATACAGCTCGAGCTCCTTTGATTTTTTTTCGTACTGCGCGCCGCCTTCGGCTTCTCTGTTGTCGTCGTCCTCATCCTTTCCGCCTTCATCGTCCTCAGCCTCCTCGCTTTCGTCTTCCAAAGTTTCCTCATTATGAACATGCGACCAGAATGTCACTGGCGAAATGATATGAGCACCGGGCACACAATGCACGAACCCAATTGCGTCTAAGCACCCAAAGACCTGGCCCCACCTGGCCCAAGGTTTTCCGGATGAGAATAAGGCCTGCCCGTCCTTTTTGCCGTCTGTTTTAATTACGATTCCACCATTGTGCCGCCACTTTTCGAGGGTCCTGGCAAGGTCGTCCGGGTTTTTCGCGGTTTTGTTTTCCTTTAATTGTCGCACGATACTCATTGCGGCTACACGTGCCTGGGGCGCAGTCCCCGAAGGCGCGAGGCACTTCAGCAGAGGGCATGGGTTTTCGGCGAAATCGATGACCATGCGGCTTTCCACCTCACGCCTGTGCTCAAGAATGTCAGCAATTTTTGCCATGGCCACCTGGAGCATCGTCATGAGAACCTCCTCCCTGGAATTTCTTGCGGGCGAGAACATTTGCAGCACTTTTGCTATCAGGACGCATGCTGTTGGGTCGCTTTGTGCACCTTCTGCGCCACAAGTGTGGAGAAGCTTGCGCAAAGCGCCAGCCCTTGGTAGGGTGGCCATTTTTGTCGGATTGAATATACTGAACCCCCTTGAAGTCGTCAGGCTTCAAAACTTTGAAAAGGGGACGGGCGTACTTAGTGAACTTGCGCGAGCTCCTGTCCTTTCAGGCTGGTTCTTGGTTTTGTATATTCCCCAAGGCTTTAGCTTATTGAAGAACAAAAAAAACCGTCGAGCTTTTACCAATCGGGACGGGAATACGCGAAGAAAAGTCCTGCCTCTGGTGTTGCCTAAATTTTAACGGGATGAACTAGGGCCCTTTGCTTTTACTCCTTCAAGCTTCAACCTACTGCGCTCACATCTTGCCGCACTCCCACAGATTGCGACCACCTCGCCGAGTTTTTATGCTAGATGGATTCTCGACCTTACCTTCCCTTGTTTTATTGTATAAGGCACGACAGCCGACAAGCGACGCCGGCCGCGAGAGGGCCCGACGCCCCTGCCCTTCCCCTGTTTCGCCTTTCTTTATGCTGGAGCACGCTGCACGGCCGGCGGCTGGTTGCTCCTTTTTTTGCTTCCTGGCGAGTCGCTGCGGCTGTCCTGCCCCAACTGGTCGGCGACTTTGGCGAGCAGCCGGCGCGCGTCACCTTCATCGGCCTCACCACCTAGATAAGACAAAGCCCAAGGAGCTGGCGCCCTTTGCTTGGTTCGTAAGATCTGCTGACTAAGTCAGCGCGTCCTCTTTGGTTTTTCTACTGTTTCACCTTTTTACATGCTGGAGCATGCTGCAAAGCCGGCGGCTGCCTCCGCCTGGTGTCTTCTTCAATTACTTGAGTCAAAGACGGCCCAAACAAGCTGGCTACTTTGGTAAGCAGCCGGCGCGCACCACCTTCATCGGCCTCACCACCTAGATAAGACAAAGCCCAAGGAGCTGGCGCCCTTTGCTTGGTTCGTAAGATCTGCTGATTAAATCAGCGCGTCCTCTCTGAATGAGTCCAAACAGAGAAAGGAAGGCGGGAAACCCCCCGCGGAAAATTTTCCGGCGGAAAACATTGGCGAAAATTTTCCGGCGGAAATTTTTCCCCTGAAGTCCTGCGACGACTTTGCTGAACTAGTTCCATGCCCTGCCTCGCGTCTCCCCTTTTTTTGTTCTTGGTAGTTTCTCCTGTGGTATTGTCCACGTTTTTGCAGGAAAATTCTCCGGTGGAAAGTTCTTGCCTATTCTGCTTCTTTTTCTTGTCTTGTTTCATTTTCTGACCTTTTGCGCTTTTGGTGTGCATAGAATGGGCCGCCCTCACTGATGCCCCAACCTTGAAGCCCTACGACGTTCCAGCTTACTTGGTTCTGGCAGCTTTATGCATGGCGGGAGGACAGTTTTCCGGCGGGAAATTTTACGAAAAATTTTCCACCAGAAAAAAAAATAAGTAAACAAAAACCGCACACGCCCCGCCTGCTTTCTTTATCGTGTCCCTCTTAGTCCTTTTGAGTGTTGTTACCCTTGCGAGCCCTCCCCTGGAGCTTTATGGGCTTTTGAGACCTTTTAAACTTTTACGAAAAGTCTTCTGGTGAATTTTCTGAAAAATTTTTCGCCGGAAAAAAAATATCGCGAAAAACTTTCCGCCGAAAAAAAAAAACCAAACAGAAAAAAAAAACCAACAAAAACATTTTGTCAAGTTTCTTTGGCCTTGATGCCCCTTGCCGTACTTTGCGCGCCAAATGTTCAACCGTGTAAGCCTTTGGAGGCCTTTTGGACTTTGTTAAAATTTTTCCGCCAGAAAAAAAACGACCCGGAAAATTTTCCGCCGGAAAAAAAAAAAAAATACTCCAGACAACTTTTCCCTTTTAGCGCACGCCCTCTGTTTGTTTTTGCCTACCGCTGTCCCTGGCGAGCCCTTGCGCATTTATTTTAGGACTTTGGCGGCCTTTTGGACTTTGGTAAAAAAAATTACCGCCAGAAAATTTCCCCGAAAATTTTCCGCCGGAAAAAAAACCGCTCTCCAACAATGTGCGCCCTTACGTTACTTCTCGCAAAGTTTCTTCACCCATTTTGCCTACAGCTGTCCCTGGTGCCCTTTTTTACGATTGTGCAGGATTTTTCGAAGATTTCGGGAAAATTTTCCGGCGGAAAATTTGCCAAAATTTTGCGGCGGGAAATTTTTTGACGTTCGTGCCGGCTACTAAACTTGCTGCCAACCTTCCTCCAGTGCCTCCCCTGGCCTCTCTTTTGGTTGTTTTAGTCTCTTACAGGGCGGAGCCCCTCCAACAACGGCTCTAGAAATTCCAAAAATCCTAACAAATTAAACGAAATTAAAAAACAGGAAAACAAACAAACTCACGAACGCGCGCGCGGTTCCTAGTCGTGCTAGAAGCTTAAACGCCACGCAAAGAAGAGAGGTGGAGCGATTCCTGTTAGCGTGTTCCTGTGTTGTCTGATCGTGCTTTTATTTTCTTCCTGGAGTCGATGGCAGAGGATGCAAATGCATCAAATTCCCCAAGATTTTCACCCGATCACCACTGGGAAGTGCTCCAGAGCCTGCTGGTTTCAAGTTGAAAAACGGCCCAAAAGCTTCCCAGTCGTGCAAAAAAAACGGACACCACTAGGAACAAGCCAGAGGCCGTCGCTTTCAAGTTGAAAAATTGCCCCCAAGCTACTAAACCGCGCGAGGAATTCTCTAAGCGCCACTGGTAAAAAGACCAAAGCCCAAAGAGCCCAAGCTGTAAAACGGTCCAGGAGCTTCTAGCCTGTGCCTACTTTGTTCCCGTCACCACCAGGAAAAAGCCCAAGACCAAGGGGGCCAGGCTGAAAGATGTGCAAAAGCGCGCCGCTTTCTGGTAGCCTCAGGCAGCCCCCCGCCCCCCCCCCCAAGCCAAAGAAACCTAACCAGGCCCAAACCATGACCAAACTGAAGCCCCGCGCCAACAAAACTGAAACCAAACGCAGGCCAACCGCGGCCCAANCGCCACTGGTAAAAAGACCAAAGCCCAAAGAGCCCAAGCTGTAAAACGGTCCAGGAGCTTCTAGCCTGTGCCTACTTTGTTCCCGTCACCACCAGAAACTAAGACGAGAAGGACCCGACCAGGCTGAAAGGTGCGCAAAAGTCCGCCGCTTTCTGGTAGCCTTAGGCGACCCACCCAAACCAAACCCAAGCCAAAGAAACCTAACCAGGCCCAAACCATGACCAAACTGAAGCCCCGCGCCAACAAAACTGAAACCAAACGCAGGCCAACCGCGGCCCAAACTTCAGCCAGCCCCGAGCCGAACCAGAACCAAACGCAAACCGGGCCGAAACGCAAACCAAGCCCGGGCCAAACTCAAACCAAACCAAACCCAAACCACGCCCGCGCGCAAATGCAAACCAAGCTCCAGCCAAACTCAAACCAAACCCACGCCGAACGGAAACGCGAACCGAACACATTTGAAACCCAAGCGCGAGCCGACCAAACCCGCCGGAAGCCCGCCCGACCTCAAGCCAAACAGGCGAGCCCTAAGCACGCCTGGGGCCCGAGGCAGGGCCGAAACTCGCCGTGCTCGAAACTCGGGCCAGGCTTGGGGCTTGCGCTGCGCGTGGAACCCAAACGGGGCAGGCTGCGGCGCGCTGCGTGTGCGTCTCCTCTGCTCTTCCCTCTTCTCTTTCTTGGGTCTTCTGAACCGCAGGGAGCCCGATGCCACCAGCCACCGCGGCGCGCCCTCGAATCTCGAGGAGCGGGGAGAGGGACAAGAGAGGCAAAAGGCGGGACGGCATGACGATGCTGCGGCTTTGGCTGCGCGTGGTTCTCCAGTGCTGGCCCGGTCGACACGGTCCCGCCTGTGTTGCCTTCGTCTTCTCTTTCGTTTCCCTCTGGTTTTCCTCTCTTCCAGGAGATTCGAGGGCGCGCTGCGGTGGCGGGTGGCGGGCTGCACTGCGTGCGCAGTGTGTCCCGCTCGGTCTTCTTCGTGCTTGGTTCGCTCCTGAGATTCGAGGGCGCCGCGCGGTGGCTGGGGGTGGGTTATGAGGCGAGTGCAGTGCGCTCCCCGTCTTTGTCTTTCAGAAAGCTCCAGCCGGGCTCTGGCCTGCTTCAAGACGAGGCGCGAGCCCTCTCGGAGTCGGGAAGCTCTCGCGACTAGAATCCACACGCGGCCGAGGTCGCTTTTGGTTTCGTTCATCAGGGGAAGAAGGTCCATCTCCCCAACGAAATGAAGCCGCTGAGGGTCTTGTCGCTGAGGGGTCGAAATTGTGCGAATTTGGTTGAATCTGAAGCGTGTCCGTCTAGCATTTTGAAGACTCTAAGAGACGGCTCCAAACTTCCGCAAGGACATAGAAAAAAACCAGAACGGGCACCGGACTGCTTCGGGGCCGCGGCCCCTCGGCCCGCCCCGAGGCCTTTGCGGCACCCCGGTCGAGGCTCGTGGCTGAGTCTTCTCCAAGCTTCTCGGAAAGCCTGGGAGGCTGGGGCAGAGCCCGCGGGAGCCGCCTCGCAAAGCCTCCGGCAGGCTCGCAAGAGGCCGCCGCCGAAGCCTTGCACGGGGCTACACTCTTCACCACGTGGCTAAAGCGTAGCCATTAGAATCAGCCGCAGGCAGAGGGCTACTTCTCGACGGTGGAGGAATCTAGACACAGAGCGGGCGCCGGCGCTGTGCGGCGTCGCGGTTCTGATGTTAGAGCAGATGGCCGCGGAGTCCTCTCAATCAATTTCAAGAAGCCCAGCGCCTTTCTTCGTTTTGGGCTCGGCCTGCTTCTGGGCTGATATTGGTAGGCCGCAGGGCTTACCCGCTTCCAATTTTTAAACGCCGGGCGGGGGCAGGAGCTGACAAAAAAACAATAAGCCAAGGGCTCCGGGCTCGAAAAAAGCAAAGAACAAAA